GCAGGATCACAGCCATATCAACACTGACTTCCAGTGCCAAGGTGAGCACTCAACACATTGTAGACAGTTAACACCCAAAGGAGTGAATGAATTAAATATTTCAATATAATTTTGTAATGTGACTCAAACTTTATAATTTATCTCTTTTTGTAAGTGGATTCTTTTGGATGTTGAGTCCCCAGTGGCCAGGGTCTGCTATGGAATTCATTTTCCAATAGCTAAACCTGGGTCTCATGTTTAACTGGGTCAGCTAAGGGAAGTGTAGGCACAATGCAGATTCCTCATGATCATGGTTGTCGCTGTGCCCACCTCTATGCCAAGATCCTCACTGATACTGAACAAGGTTGCACACATTCATACATCCTTTTAAATCTGAGAGCCAAAATCACAATTCGAGATTTTACAGACAGGCACACAGACAAACATACAAACACTTCCCTCCATGAAGCACAAAGATGCTAGCACAGACATTCAACACACAACAACAAAGGTGCAAAAGGGGACCATGGTATTAGTTGGGGTGTGACACCGAAGGACAAATATGGTCTGAAATAGGCAAAAAGTGAAGTCATATTCAACATTTATCCTTGCTTCCTGCAAGAAAGACTACTTCCTCTCATTCAACAAGAAACACTGGATTTGCTTCTCTTTTCAATTTAAATGCTTTTATTACTTACATTTAGGTCTATTTTTGCTTCCCAGAAAATTAGCATTTTACCCTGAAATCTCTGGGTCTGAGTCTTTCCCTCTTCCTAACTGTGATTTCATTATTTCATTTTCCAGTAATATATGCTCCATTTCATGGTGGAAGGTAATGGGAGAATGGTATTCAAGTTCCTAAAAGCTCTATTTTGTACTTATAGATATTATAGAAAATACATCATTCCCATTTAAAGCAGAGAGAATCAGTGATAGCCATCACATAAATTATAGTTCATGTGTAATGGTTAAGAATTAAGAAAATCCTGATAGAAAGTCTACTTACTCCTGACCCTGTTTGACCCCTTGCAACCTTGTGAGTGCTTCATGAGGCATTTACTTTCCTGGGCTGCTTGTTAGCAAATTCTAGGGCCCTATCTAGACACATAAATCAGAACTTGCATTTTAACAAATTCCCCACACGATTTGTGTGCACATTAAAGTTTTAGAAGCATGAGTTAACCAATCACAGGGCTTCATGGAAACTAAGAGAAATTACTCCATCAGACTTAAATTTAGATTGGTTTTCCTTTCAAAGAGCTACAGACCCAAATGCTAATTATTTTCAATATGTTACCTAAATTTACATTAAGATACATTTATGGAATTTGGTGGCCACCCTACATTCCATTTACACTCCATCTAATGGTGCTCTATGGTACAGTCTGTCCCTGCCACCATTTGCATGGGAGAACCAGGTGTGCATGGGAAGAAAGAAGGAACCAATGATGTGAATTAGGGAATTATATGGAATACTGACATGTGTTTTTCATTGTACAGGGGGGATTCAAATCACTGTCACCCCATTGTTTTCTTCTCATTGTCTTAGTCTCCAAGTAACAAAGGAAAACCCCAAAACTCCTAACAGGTTTTTGTGTTTTACATACCAAGTGAGTTTTCTTGAGTTTATTTCTCTTCCTCCAAGAGAAGCTAAGGAGAAGCCGAGTCCCAGACATGTTGAAACATGGTTGCTGTAGGTACCCCTTGCCAAATAGTTCCCAGTCAAGGAAACGATGCTATTTATCCCTCCCTAGACTTGAGTTTCAGGGAGATTAGTGACATATCCATTGCCTCAAAAAACCAGCTGACCCTGTTTGCCTGGGAATGAGCCTATTAAAGGAGTATTGACCGTGACACTTAGGATGACTAGAGTTGCTGCTGAAGGAATGACAGGATGAGGATGTGTGAGAAAGTTAACTTTTTAAGCAACAAAGGAAGGTGACATACCCACGCTGCATCCCAGACATCCTTCTTCACAGGGCATGCAATCTTCATAGTCTGGGTCCTGGACTTCACCTATACAGTGAGAAGAGAGAAAACTGCAATTCATTTTCACTGACTGGAGACACATTAATTGCTATGAAAATACATTGGTGTGTAGCTTCTTTTCAAGCAAACCATAGAGCAGTTATGATACTCACAGTTATCCTTGAATGTATATTTGTCACTCACATTTTTATTTTCTTCCATTTAAAAAGATGAATTTGTAATTTTAAAAAATCAAAGTCTTGCATATACTTCAGACCTTCAAGGTTAATCATGAAAAATAGTAATCCCCTGTGCCTCTCTGCCCCTTCCCTTTTCCCAGAGACAACAAATTTCAATTCTTTTAGCTGTTTCTTTTAGTTTTTAACTTCAAATGTCTAAATCACAGTAGATTATAATGCTACTCTTTGACTTTATTTTTAGACATTATCTGCAAGGATAAGACTAGCTGGCTTTCACCACCATTCTAACAAATGCACATACACTTTCCATTCCCCCAGTCAAACGTTTCACTAGGTCAACATTCAATATTAACCTTGTTAAGACTGCATAACTATTATTCATATTCTGATTACATTACTTTGGTTTTCCCTTGTGTTAGTATTTGTTTGGCTTCTTTATGTGCTTCCTCAGTATCTGTCCTTAATTCATGTCTAACTGAACCCCAAGTATAAATCAGCTGTAATGTTAGTTCCTTCTTTGCTGTTATCCTAAGGATTCCTTTTACTTCTGTCCTCCTTTTGATCTCCCATTTTCTGGATCCCATATCTTATTATTTTTTTGTTCTATTTATTGGTGGAACATATCCTCTAGAAGTAATTTTCCCAAAAGGGATGCATGAGAGGTAAATTTTTTGAAAACTTGCATGATTGAAAATACTTTTTTCTATCATCAACGCATGACTCATGGTTTGACTGAGTTTAGAATTTTAAAGAAAAATAATTTCTCCTCTCAAGATGTTAAAGTTTTTGTTCCATTTTTATGTTTTACTTTCCAGTATTGGTAAGTTCAGTGCTAGTCTCATAGCCAGTCTTTTATATATGACCTGCTTTCCTTCTCCCTAGATTTTCTTTTGGTAGAGAAAAAAAACAGTACTCCAAATTCTTACAGTGATGTATCTTGGTGTGTCTTTTAAAATCCATTATGCTGGGCAGGCAAAGGGCCCTTTCAATCTGGAAATTTATGGCTCTTCAGTTGTGGGAAATTTTTATGTATTATTTCTTTGTTGATGTTCTCTCTTCTGTTTTGCTGTTTACTTTTTGAGAAACTGTTATATTTGGAATCCTTGGGCTGAGCCTTTATTTTTTCTTCCTTCTCCATTTTCCACTTTTATTTTTCTTTTTGTTCTACTGTTCAAGTGATTTTATCTCTATCTTTCTGCCTTTCTCTTGCATTCTCATTCTTCTTTTTGTTTTGAGTTCCAAGATCACATCCTTGAATATATATTTGTCACCCACATTTTTATTTCCGTCCATTTAAAAAAATGCAATTTGTAATTTTTAAAAATATAGTTACCATCCATCATGCTATAACTGAATCCCTTCACCCCTTTTGCCTACCCCTGAACCCCCCTCCTGTCTGGTGACCATTGGTCTGTTACCTATTATGTTTTTTTGTTTCTTTTGTCTTGTTCTTTCTGTGCTTGTTTCTTAGATTCACATATGAGTGAAATGTATGGCATTTGTCTTTCTCCTTATGACTTCTTTCACTTAGCATAATACCCTCAGGGTCTATCCATGTTGTCACAAATGGCAAGATTTTGTTCTTTTTTTATGGCTGAGTAGTATTCCATGTACCACATCTTCTTTATCCATTTATCCATTAGTGGATATTTAGTTTTTTTTCTATTTCTTGGCTATTTGTAAATACTGCTTCAGTGAACATAGGGGTGAATATATCTTTTTGAATTAGTGTTTTTGTTCTCATTGGATAAATACCCCATAGTGGAATAGCTGGATCATGTGGTAATTCTACTCTTAATTTTTTCAGGAATCTCCATACTTTTTCCATAGTGGCTGAACCAATTTATAATCTCACCAACAGTGTAAAAGAGTTCCTTTTTTTCCACATCCTTTCCAACACTTATTTCTTATCTTTTTAAAAATGTTTTTGATAATAGCTATTCTAACAGGTATGAGGTGATATTGATTTTTCATTTCCCTGGTGGTTAGTGATGTTGAACATCTTTTCATGTGCCTACTGGCCATCTATATTTCTTCTTTGGGAATATGTCTATTCAGACCCTTTGCTCATTCTTTAATTGGGTTATTTTTGTTGTTGTTGAGTTGTATTAATTCTTTATATATTTTGGATACTAACCTCTTATCAGATATATCATTTGAAAATATCTTCTTTAGTTTAGTAGGTGACCTTTTCATTTTAATAATGGTCTCCTTCATTGTGCAGAAGCTTTTTAGTTTCAAGTAGTCCCATTTGCTTATTTTTGCTTTTTTGCCCTTGCTTTAGGAGTCTGATCCACAAAAACATTGCTAAGACTGATGTCAAGGAGCTTACCACCTATATTTTCTTCTACGAACTTTGTGGTTTTAGGTCTTACATTCAAGTTTTTAACCCATTTTAAGTTAATTTTTGTGTATGATGTAATATAGTGATCTAGTTTCATTCTTTTTGTGGCTGACAAGTTTTCCAAACACCATTTATTGAAGAGACTGTCCTTTCTCCATTGTATGTTGTTGGCTCCTTTGTCATAAATGAACTGTCCATATATGTGTGGGTTTATTTCTGGGCCCTCAGTTCCAATGATCTGTATGTCTTTTTTGTGCCATTACCATACTGTTTTGATTATAATATAGCATATAGTAGTACAGTAGAGCTTTGTAGTATAGTTTGAAGTCAGAGAGCATGATGCCTCCAGCTTTGTTCTTCTTTCTCAAGATTGCTTTGTCTCTTCAGGTTCTTTTGTGCTCCCACACAAATTTTAGAATTATTTGTTCTGGTTCTGTGAAATATGCCATTGGAATTTTCATAGGGATTGCATTGATCTGTAGATTGCTTTGGGTAGTGTAGATATTTAAACAATATTATTTCTTCCAATCCATGAGCATGAAATATCTTTCTATTTACTTGTATCATCTTCAATTTCTTTCCTCGATGTCTTAGAGCCTTTCACCTCCATGATTAAATTTATTCCTTGGTACTTTGTGTTTTTTTGATGTAATTTAAAAAATTAGGTTGTTTTCTTAATTTCTTTTTCTGACAGTTCATTATTACTATACAGAAACATCATAAATTTCTCTATAGTGATTTTTATATAATGTGAGTTTACTGAATTCATGTATTAGTTCTAACAGTTTTTGAGTGGAGTTTTTAGGTTTTTCTATATATAGTATCATGTCATCTGCAAATAGTGACAGTCTTACTTCTTTCTTTCCTATTTGGTTGATTTTTATTTCTTTTTATTGCCTAATTGCTGTGGCTAGAATTTCCAATGCTATTTTGAATAAAAAGGGTAGACATTCTTGTCTTGTTCCTGATCTTAGAGGTAGAGCTTTTTTCAGCTTTTCCCTGTTGAATGTAAGGTTAACTATAGTTTTTTCATATATGGTCTTTATTCTTTTAGGGTACATTTTCTCCGTACTGCTTTGTTAAGAGTTTATATCATAAATGGATGTTGAGTTTTATCAAATGCTTTTCCTATATTTATTGAGATGATCATATGATCTTTATCATTCATTTTTGTTAATGTGGTGTATCACTTTGATTTGTGGATGTTGAACCATCCCTGCAATCTGACTCGAATGTGGTGTATGATCCTTTTAATGTGTTGTTGAATTTGGTTTGTTAATATTTTGTTGAGGATTGTTGCATCTATGTTCAAAAGCATATTGGCCTGTAGTTATCTTTTTTTATGGTGTCCTTGTCTGGTTTTGGTATGAGGATAATGATGGCTTCATAAAATGTGTAAAGCATTCCCTCCTCTTCAATTTTTTGGAAGAGTTTGAGAAGGGTATATATTAAATCTTCTTTGAGTGTTAGAAAGAATCCAACAATGATGTTGTCTGGCCCTGGGATTTTGTTTGTTGGGAGTTTTTAATTGCTGATTCAGTCTTATGAGAAATCCATACATTCAGGTTTTCTATTTCATCCTGATTCAGTCTGGGAAGACTGTATGTTTCTAGGAATTTATCCATTTCTTGGTTGTCCAATTTGTTGGCATATAATTATTCCTAGTAGTCTCCTAAGATACTTTGTATTTCTGTGGTATCAATTGTAACTTCTCTTTCACTTCCGATTTTATTTATTTGAGCCCTCTCTTTTTTTCTTGGTAAGTTTAGCTAAAGGTTTGCTAATTTTGTTTATCTTTCAAATGAACCTGTTCTTAGTTTCATTCATCTTTTCCATTATCTTTTCAGTCTCTATTTCTTTTATTACTACTCTAATCTTTATCATTTCCTTCCTTTTACTAACCTTGTTCTTCTTTTTCTAAGTACCTTTAGGTGTAAAGTTAAATTGCTTAACTGAGATTTCTCATTTGTTAAGGTAGGCCTGTAATTATATGTACTTCTTTCTGGATGTATATAGAAGTAAGTACATAAAACTTCCCTCCAGATGATCTCTCTATTGATGTGTGTGGGATGCTAAAGTCTCTTACTATTATTGTATTGCTTTTTGTTAATATTTGCCTCATATATTTAGGTGCTCCTATGTTGGGTGCATAAATATTTTTATATTTGGTCAGTTAATATTTGCTTCATATATTTAGGTGCTGCTATATTGGTTGCATAAATATTTACAAATGCTGTATCCTCTTGTTGAATTGACGCCTTTATCATTATGTAATGGCCTTCTTTGTGTCTTAGTACAGTCTTTGTTTTGAAGTCTGACATAAGTATAACTACACCAGCTTTCTTCTTGTTTCCATTTGAATGGAATGTCTTTTTCCATCCCTTCACTTTCAGTCTGTGTGTGTCCTTACTTTTAAAGGGAGTCTCTGTAGGTAGCATATAGATAGGTCTTGTTTTTTAATTCATTCAGGTACTCTTTTGATTGGATAATTAAGTCCATATGTATTTTAAATAATTATTGATATGCAGTTATTGTCATTCTGTTATTTGTTTTCTGAGTGTTTTTGAAGCAAAAAGAGTTCTAAATGATAGATCCCCTACCTGTATTATATATTTCACATTTTCCAGTAAGATTGTTACTTTCATGTGTTCTCTTATTGATTAGTATCTTGTCTTTTCAACTTAAAGAAAACCCTTTAAGATTTCTTAATCTTAAATCAGTAAGGCTGATTTAGTGGTGATGAATGCCTTTAGCTTTCTCTTACCTGAAAAACTCTTAATCTCTCCTTCAATTCTGAATGATAAATTTGCTGGGTAGAGGATTCTTGGTTAGGAAATATTTCTTGTCAGCACTTGGAATATGTCATGCCACTCCCTTGTGGCCTATAAAGTTTCTGCTGAAAAATCTGCTGATAGCTTTATGGGTTTTCCTTTGTAAATAGTAAATTGTTCTTCTCTGTCTACTTTCAAGATTTCCACTTTATCCTTAGCTTTAGCATTTTAATTATAATGTGTCTTGGCGAGGTTCTCTTTGAGTTCATGTTATTTGGAACCCTCTGGGCTTCCTAGACCTGGATGTCTATTCCTTCCCTAAATTAGGGAAGTTTTCAGCCATTATTTCTTTGATTATATTTCTCTCTTCTCCTTTTGGGACCCCTAAAACATGACTGTTATTCTGTTTGATGTTGTCCTGAAAGTTCCTTAAGGTATCCTCATGTTTTTAAATTCTTTTTACATTTTACTCTTCTGTCTGGGTGAAATCCATTGTTTTGTCTTCCAGCTTGCTGATTCATTATTCTCTTAATCCACTCTGCTGTTGAACCCCTCTAGTATACTTTTCAGTGAAGTTATAATTTCTGTTTGGAATTTTCTTTCCTTTGTTAAAGTTTTTACTGTGTTTATCCCTTCTCCTGAGTTCAGTGAGCATCTTTATGAACATTACTTTGAATTCTTTGCCAGGGAGGTTGCTTATTTCCATTTATTAAGGTATTTTTCTAGAGATCTGTCTTATTCTTTGGTTTGGAGTATATTCCTCTGTCTCCTCATTTTGCTTAAATCTCGTGTTTGTTTATATGCATTAGGTAAGACAGCTGTCTCTCCCACTCTTGGCATGGTCTTGTGTAGGTGATGAGCTGTAGGGTCCAGTAGCACAGTATCCCTTGGCCTCCAGAGCCAGGTGCTCTAGGGGCATTCTTTGTGTGGGCTATGTCTGTTGGCTGTGGCAGGGCTGTAGCTGTGGTGTGAGGTGGGCAGGGTGTGGTGTGCTTGCCTGGTGTGGTGGTTGTATGGCTGTGGGATGAGGGTGGCTCTGGGTGATCACCTGACCCTGCTGTGCTATTGCATGAGGTGGGTGAACATGAAGTAGGCACACTGGTGCTAGCAGGCTAGCAGGAGAACACCAATGTCTATTCCTTCCCTAAATTAGCACCTGCAGCTCTGTCACCAACAAGTTAGAATGTGATTGCAGAAAACGTACACACCAGTGCTTCTGTCCACAGAGAAAGTTACTGCAGTTTCCTGTGTCTCCAGCAGCCACTTTAGGATTAGTAAATGGGTATCCCTCATTTATAATCTAGGCATTTTTCACACTGTGGCTTTTATGCTGGATCTCAGGGTGAGTGGGTCTGTATGCTAGCCTTTTAAGAGTGGGCTTTCCACTCCCTACAGTTTGATGGTCCCCTTAGACTTAATTCCTATGATTTTCAAAACCATGTGTTTTCGGGATTCACTTGTTCCAGTGCTAGACCCAAGAGTTGGGATACCCAATGCGAGGCAAAGTCCCTTCACTCCTGGGAAGTTCCATATTTTGGGGATTCCTTCCTGCTTGTGTCATCACTGTGCCTGGGGCAGGGTCCTGGGTGAAGCCATTTTTCTGCCTCTCCTGCCATTTTTGATGCATCTCTTTTATCTTTTGTTATGAAGATACTATTCATCTCTCTCAGGTGAATTTTCCTTTTCAGAGGAAAAGTATTCCATATGTAGCTGTCGATTTGTTATATCCTTTAGGAGGAGGTGAGTTCAGGGTCTAAATATGTCACTATCTTGAATACCCCTCTGTATCTCATTCCATTAATTTAATAGATTGGATCAGCATGATTGACTAACAAATAGAACAAAGTTGGAGTATATGCCTTGCAATTCATTTTAAAGCCAAGTTGGTACATTTTATTTATTAAAGAAATATTTTGCTTCTGGGAATATGGACGTGATTATATAAATGAACAGGCTCTCTTTTTATCTGTCTTCTTAAATACTTTTTTTTTAAGTTTTAAATCCTTTACTACATTAATAAATATTAAGAAGAAAAAGGAATGAGTGTCTTAATTATTCTAGACACCTTAGAGCTCTCATCAGCACCAGACTGGGCATAATTCATATACAGGACAGAGAAAGTCTGTGGCATTCTTAGATGAAAAAGAAGAAAAAGTATTAGGCCTGTTTTTTAATCTTCATCGTCCCATGTTAGATAAGGAATTGGGCAATAATGCTAACACACAGGATTCACAGAACCTTTTCATATTTTCAGGTAGTATTAGGTAGGCTGATTCTCACTGGCTTCTCACAGCAGCACCCTTGGTCCTATGCTTTCCCATTCATAAGTGAAGAAACCAAGGCATAGAGAAATTAGACCAGTTTACCTAGAGTCTCATAACTGGTAATTGGGAAGGAGAAAATTGTTGGTTAGGACTTTCAGATTATAATCTTATTTTCTTTCCACTATACCTGTCCACAAACCCTCCACTCAAGGTCCATTTCTATGTGACTACCTGCATTCTTATGTCTCTGATCGTGTCTAGAAAACCCAGAGAAAAGGTGTGCAGAAGAAGAGAGGGCAGCCAACACTCTCTCCATTTGTCATACAGAGTAACACAAAGTCATCTCAGGCACTAATATTAAATAAAGCCAGGAAGATAATTCAAATATCTGGGGATTCAGGGGCATAGCTCCTCACCCCACCTCCTGGTATAGGGCAGTGGCCCCAGAGAAGTCTTACCTTGTCCACACTCTAACTTCTGGCAGGTATGATTGGTGGGCACTACAAAGTAGCCACCCACGCACCGTATGCAGATGTGTGCACTGTGGCAAAGCTCACAGTTGTCTGGGCAGGGCAGGCAGGTGTGCCCATCAGTAGGGTAGTGGCCTGCTGGGCAGCTCCTCCGACACTCTCCCTGGTACAAAAAGCGCTCCCAGCCGTACTTATCTGAACAGATGGACGGGCAACACCATGAAAGAAAATGTACAAATTAACCATGGAGCTAATATAAGCTACTTTATTTAAAAAAAAAGATTGAACTGAATGCTTTGGTTCCTAGGAGACCAGAAGTATGACAGTGGATTCAATGAAAAGTATAATATCTATATGCTTGTAGTTGAAATGTTTTCATTGTAGGGAATCATTTTCTGAAGTTTTATATATCTGAGTGAACAATACTATCTGGGATGTCACTGCAAAAGAACAAACTACTCTCTTTGGATAAGTCGGAACTTTCCTAAGGGCTCCTTTCGATGTCTGTGGAAGCTCACAGACTTAGGCTATAGAGATCCCATGAGAATAAACAGATGCCTACTGGTAGACACATTTTTATGACAGTGCAATCTTTTAGATTGATTTTGAGTCCTGTTATCAAAATCATGTGCTTGTGTTAACTGTCTAAGGTCTGAATTTTTGCACAGCTGCCAACTTCTATAATGACAGCTTATTGAAGCACTAGACCAAGGACACCTCCGTGCTTTCTTTACATATATTCCTGAAAGTTCCTGGAAGCCCCTGGGCATCTGTCAACATTGGACTCTACAAGCAGTTCTCTCAGTGTGAGACTCTAGGAATTTGCTCCCAGAGGGAATGGAAAATCCTAATCAATTACAAACTCACCATTAATGCAAAAAGGATTATAATCAGTTACAAGCATATATAAATAAAAACATATATATATGTAATATAACATATATAAAAATATATCTATATATATAAAAAAACAAGTGTAATATAGGTGCATTAGGAATCTATCCCCACACTCGTGAAGTTTTTGTGCTGAGTTTAGGGTATTCATCTCTGAATCAGGTCTTTCATATTCTCCTGACTCTGAAGAGCAGCTGATCTGTGTTACCCAGAATAACCAGGGTCTAGTATTCAGTCATCATGTGATCTACCACACAATGGTCTGGAACCACTGACCTTCAAGATACAAGGCTGCTGAATTTGTGGCTAATGAGCACTAACTCCATATTGCAAGTACAAAAACTGAAAGACTGAACCACACATGAAATTGCCAGTATTTGAGTGTTTTTCTATGTGTAAACTTGGCACTCTCAGGTGGTCTAACCTAAGTTTCTTATTTAGTTAAAGCTTTAGTTCAAATACAATTTAAAAGTAACACCCTTGGATTATGGGCTGTGAAGCTGCTTCTTTTCTGTTTCTGATTTCATGCCAGAAGTCTTCTGATTCCCATGGGATGAAGAAGATGAAGAGGGCTTGCATAGAGGTGGTAGGGAAAAGTATCTGCTATCTCCAAGTATGACCTAAAAGGACATTGTCCTCCACGGGAAGGAGAGTGTTTGAGAGGATCTAATGTGCATTTGGTGATTCTACAGCAATAGGCCGGTGTGTGGAACACAACACCCTGATCTGATGGAGCCTGGAATCTCCAGAGACCACAAAAGGGTCAGCTTTGCAAGTTATATTCTTTTCAGACACATTATAAAACCCTTGCAAACCCCACTTCCACCAAGACTCATTCAGAAAAGACTTTGTCAGGGACCAAACTCCTCAGATGTAGGTAGAAGAAGCCAATTCCTTCATCCATCCAGCAGTTGCTCTACATTCCCTACTCCTTTATGGAACATCAACTCAGGATCCAGAGGTTTGGAAGCAGCCTGGCACATAGTGAGTTCTTAATGCATATTCATCGAATGAGTCATTGGATTAGTATTTGGCAATATTCCTATCTTTCCAACACATCCAATTGGATCATCAGTCTTAAAATAAGAATGATGATGGGTTTAGATATCCAAGGAAAGCTCTCTAATCCCATTTTTATTGTCTGAACTTGGCTTTATTATTTGAACCTCTTGGGGTATTATAATTTGGGCTTAAAGGATAGAGATTTGGAGGATCTTGGTATTTAGGATACATGAGCATTCTAAAAGGTGGTGACTTAGATGTCTTGACCATTGCCAGCTTTTCCCACAGGTTTGGTCCAGGATGCCAAGATCTGGTCATTTTTCCAATAGCCTGAGTAGTGTGGCAGCTCACATAGTTTGGGCTGGTAATTTGGATACCCCACTGATTTAAATAGCATGCATAAACTTTTGCCCAGAGTCTCAGAATTTAAATTACTGTAATGATATGTAGGAAAAGCTTGTTAGAGTAGTAGAAGGGCTGATAATTTTGTTAGCTGCCAAGACCTTTCATGTTTCATGTGATAATATAAGAGTTAAATGCAGGAAGTCCAAAAGGGGTTCAGCTTGTCTTTCATTTATACTGAAGACTAATTAACTGTTTCCAGAGCATCTCTTGGCAGCTGATTTTGTTGGAAAAGGTAGGCTGATGTGAAGGTATTGGATGTCTGCAGGAGGAGAGTGGTTGAGGGTTAAAGGCATGAGGTGAAAAGAACTGTGGAAAGGATGAAAGAAAGAAAGGCTGAGGGACTCTGAAAAGAAACTTCATGAACTTTATTTTGACATTTTGCTTTCTTTAGCTCTGGGTGATTGTTGAATTTAACTTGGGCCAGTTTGGTAGAGAATAAATCTGGAAGACAATTAAGTAAATCTTCACTAACAAAGCTAAAGATCCACACTTCCAAAAGGATTCAGACCTAAATCTTAACTAAATTACAATTAGGCTAAGGGTGAAATTTCTACAAACTGATGGGAGAGGCTTATGTGTATAGATGGGACTCCCCAGCCAGAGGATTTCAGCCTTTCAGTAGAGCCTATTGATATGGAATGCATCAATTCAATCATCCTTCTTTAGCACCATTTTAGCTGTGCTAATACATCTTAAACTACAGATATCCCACTCTTAATAGGAAAGAACCCAATTTATCAGAGCTTACTCAACAATACCCTCTCCAGCAAGCCTCAGTTCACTACAAGTGAAAGTGATGTTACTTTTTTGACCTGTGGTAGGGTTCCTACCATTCATTTTTGGTCTTTAATATTTTCTTGTTTCTTAATATCTGAGGACAGACCCGTCTGTTAGAATATAAATTCATTGAGGGCAAGTATCATGCTATCATTTATTGCATTTTCCATGGCAGCTATATATAGTAATTTTTACAGGGGAGGGGTGCAATAAATTTGTGTTAAGATAATAGATTAAGCACATACTTTCAAACAGAAAATATTTGATGAGTAGCTGTAGGATGCTTAGAATATTTTAGACATTTGTTTAGCATTCAAGCTACTCCTTAATTTGTACTATGTGTGAAGATTTAGCGTGTTTTAAATGTGAAAGGGGTTTTAGATGCCATCTGTCTCTGCTTCCCCTTTTTACAAATAAGGAGAAACTGAGAGAGGTGAAGTGACCACTTTAGTGTCTTCTAGTTCATTAGTAAGAAAACAGGACCTAGAAATCAGGTTTCTGACTGTGGGTACTGGTTCTTTCTACTGAACTAGCTTTTCTTTTGGTTATATTGTGTGCCTACCATATGCTAGATGCTGTGCTAGAGCTCAAAATATAGCAGAAAACAGGTAGAAACCATTCACTGCTCTTACAGGGCATAGACTCTTATGGACAGGATAGATATCAAGTGCAGAGCTCCAAGCATACTAACAGGAAAGGGGCCTAACCTAGACAAGGAAGTCAGGGCAGCCCTCACTGGGGAATGACCTTAAGACTGAGACATAGAAAGCGGTCAGGCAGCCAACAAGTCTTTGAACAGCTAGAGAAACTCAACCACCCATAAGAGTAAGCAGATGCAAATAATAACAATAAAAATAATAATAATTCATATTTCTTGAGTGCTTCTTGTGTGTCCAGCCATGTTGTGTTTTATGATTGGGTCTCATTTAATCTCATTTCATTTTCACAATAATCCTAAAAGGAAGCAACCATTATCACCATTTTATAGGTAAGGAAGGAAACAGAATGAGGTAAAATTTGACATAGATAAACTTAGTTTATATAAAAAGCAAATACTTTTAATTTATACAAAGAAATGAATTATCTCCCATTTTTCTGAAAATGCATGATGCTCTCATTTTGCTCTTCATTTTTGTCAGTCTTATTATAAACAAGAATAAAGATAAATTATTCTCTTCTACCAGAAAAACCATATAAGTATGATGATGGCAGTAACTGATAGCCTCAGGATCAGTGAGACAACTGGGAATAGTGGGGGCTGTGGAGAAACAGAGAGCTGCCTCCTCTGATTTCCAGCCAACCATTTGGGGAATGTAGGCCCAGTGTTGCCAGATCTTCCAAGCTTTTAAGAGAAACAAAAGTTTTTCCTTGAAATTTCCCAATTTTTAAATTTGGCTCAAATTTAAAAAGTATTATGTAGGTCAGATAAAATATGAATCTGGCCCACAGGAGGTCAACATGGGAGATCAGACTTAGAAGGGGTGCCTGGAGTGGATTCAGGGTCAAACTGCAGAGAACCCTTGAGATCATGGATTAATCCAGTGACAGCAGAAACTTTTAGAGTCTTGAAAGTTGAGACACAAAAGGTTATATTTGTGTTTTGAAACAATGATTATTCCTACAGGGCTCCAGCAACTTCTAAATGGCATGCTCAAGGCTGAGGAGACCCTGACATGGCATCTATTACAGTATTTCTCTTAAAGACTGAATGTGTCTTTCCTAATATTCTAGCTTTTTGCTTGTATCTCAGTAAATCTTACCTTTACTGTCTATCTTGTGCTTGGCATCTTGTCTGCATGCCCTTTCTTTCTCCTCTGGGAAGACATCTTTTAGCTTCTTTCTCATCTCTGCCAGGGCAGGAGTCTATGACTACAATAATGTGAACGCCTGTCCTGACAACAAGCAGAAACTGCAAGGTTGTGCACACTCTCCAGTGAACAGCTGTCTAATCTCATTCCCTGGTCCCCAGAGATCAAGCTTCTGAGTCAAACCAAATAATGACCAGTGGGAGAAAAGTTTTGGAGAAAGGAAGAATGAGCGAGCAGCCAGACTCCCTCACCTACTCCACAGGAGATGCAGTTGGAAGGCGCGTTTCCTTGGCACTCTCGGCAGGTGTAATGGCATGGGTGGCACTGGTTCTTAAATTCAAATTTCCCTGAAGGACAGTTCAAAACGCAGTGGCCATCATCAAAAATCCTAGAGGGAAAGCAGACTTTTAGACTTTGTAAAGATGACTTTCTGGAATGCCATCTTAGAACATGTGGTGTGCATGTTTCACTGCACAGACTTAAGTTTTGTTGCTCCAGAAACAACAGGGCTGCCTGAGACTGATCATCTCAGAACATGTGAAATATTAGTCACATACCCATCCTTGGCCCAAGGTTTGGACTCAGCAGCAGGCATGCCAAAAACTTGCTGTGGATTCAATCCTGATTCTGGTTCCCAAAAGTTAACTGGTGCCCGCAGGGATTGAACCCATATTGTAGGCCTCAGACAATATCAGATGGAAGTCTTTGAGCTTTCAGGACACTGAATGGGCCTCTGAATCCAGAGACCTTGGAGAAAACATTCTTCTTTTAGTTATCAGCATGTCTACATTTTGGAAGGGAATTGTCAACTGCAAGGGCTCTTGAAGGGTAGTATGAACACTAACTACCCTGTAGCTTAGGTGCTATCTATAAACTGGGCCTATGAATATGGCAAGTCGTCAATGAACTCTGATTTTGACTGTTATTTTTGCAAGTGTTTCCTGATGTAGAGAGTCCTAACATCTCTATACTCTGATTGCATTTGCAAACACCTAGAAGTACACCACAGATGAATTAGTATGTGGGCTTCTAAAACATTTGGTTTTATACATATACAATATATATCATAATGTCATTGTTAATATTTTCATAGTTTTGTTTCCTTTTTTCCTTGCAAATTAATTCCAAGAGCAAATGTGACTAAGTAAATCATATTCAAGAATTCTGCTCAAAAAAGTACAAGATGTTTACCAAGTATAAGAGTCATATAGGTAATGAACCGATGATGTGAGCTTGATGGCTCCACTCCAGAAGCTTCTAATTCAGTAGGACTTGAGAGGAGGGAGCTGAGAATTTGTATTTTTGACAAGTTCCTGAGTATTGCTTGTGCAGCTGGTTTAGAGAACACACTGGTAACTTCTGCTCTGCTTCCTGCTCCCTTGTGGTCTGGATAACTGTGAAATGTGCTAAATGTTTCCCAAGTAACACAGGTGGTGCCAAATTGGGTCTCTTAGAGCTTCCTTAGAGTTATTGTATCAGCTGTGAGGTTAACTGAGCATGTAGCACACACATGTCTCTAAGGGATCATGTTGGCATCCAGACCTGAGAGAGCTGAGCGCCTGCAAACAAAGGCCCTTCCTTCTCTCTCTTCTACCTCTTCCCATTCAGGCCGAATGGACATCACATAGAAGAGGGTCAGCTGTTGGCCTGGCGCACCTTGTTTCTGGGGTGCATGGTTTGTCTAAATCCCACTATTTCCATAGCTAGAGCCTGCCCTGAACTGGGGACAGGCCATTTCAATCCCAGGTTTGGAGGAAATTGGAGCGGGCAAGACATCCAGAATAGCGTGTTGCTTGCAGTCCCATTCCCCCACCCTGGAAGTCTGTGTCATTTGCACGTGTTTGGAAACAGAGTGAGATTAAAGCCAACAGCATAAGGCAGAACACCTCATTCTTGGATTCTCAGCCCCCGGGTTCTGGACACCATCCCAACATCACTGGGGTGAACGTCCTTTGACCTGCTGCAGAGCGTGGAGGCCCTGCCCCAAACAGACCCATTCACACATCTGGTTGTCCATATCAGAACAGATCCCCTGCACCTTGGCATATAATGAAAAGTCTCCTCCCAGCCCAGGCTTTTAGCTGATGGCACTAATGCCAACCAGGAATATTCTGGCCCCAACCTGGCTCTGATTTATGAGCTAGAAGAATTGTAAGAAATAATTTGGATATGGCTAGTTAAAAAAACAGAAACAAAGCAAAAACCTCCCTTTAAGAAAAACTGCATAAGAGCTTTTTTAGGCTTTTAAATGAGGAAGCTCCTTGCTGTTCTGCTGTACAAGGAGAATACGGCATGTTTATTTGTGAGGTTCACTCTTGTGCTAAATTCAGTTAACAAAAAGTATGTCATCATTTTGTCCTTTATAGAAAGAGATGGCAGATTGGTTCAGGAGGGATTACTTCTCTTGAGGGAGGTGACCTCATACTCTAAATGGGGGAACCATTTAAAGCCATCCAGAAACAGGGGCTACAGAGTGAGGGATGAAACTGGTGGTGTAATACGTCCATGTTTATGTAGGGAAGGGGCTGCCTTCCTTTCATGAGAGCTTGATTTTAAGAAGGTACCAAGCACATAATTGTGATTTTAACCACTGCCCTCCTCCCTTGCCCTAAAGAAAACACAGGTGACATATCCAGTTTTTGTAAGAACGTGATTCTAAAGATTGAAGGCTAGGGAAAACAGTCTTGCTTTGGTGAAGGCACTGAATTACATCATCTCTTGTCCCCCTTTCCCTTCAAGAAAAATTGCTAAGAACCTGGAAGAAAAGTGCCATTGCAAGTGGCACAGATTTCCACCTACACCAACAAATCTTCTCTGCTGGAGGAACCTTGCTCTGGGCTCCATGGGGCTGATGAAAATTTCCTCTAAAGTCAGCTCAACCCTACCTGGGACCACCAGTCATCTGATGTGTGGATTTCTGAGACATTCAGGCAAGCTAATCTCTACAGGGTAAGCATTTCTCTGCCCAAGTCATGGATGCTCTTGGCCTTTCCTGAAGCAGTGAACCATTCTGGGTCCAGCAGGGCTCATGGAAAGGAAGAAGGCCACAAAACCAGATGCTGAAGAGCTGGGCAGAGGTGATGTTCTCTGGCACTAAACATTGGCACTAAAATTTCCAGAAACCCTGTGTGTGTGTGTGTGTGTGTGAGAGAGAGAGAGAGAGAGAGAGAGAGAGAGGGAGAGGGGGAGGGGAGGAGGGGGAGAGGGAGATATGAGCCAGAACAGAAGAGATGGCAAACAGGGTTAGGTGGCCCCCTGTGCTGGCTGTTGGTCTGGATTAACTCTGGCCATCACGAGTGCACTTAATGTGGTTTCTTGGTACTTTATTGAAAGGAGATTTGCCAAAAAGTCTTTTTCCCTTAATTCATTGAAACAGATCAAATAAAACATTTGAATGTGGGTCAGAACAGAGATAACTTTGACATGCTTTTAATTAGTTCATTGATTCTGTAACTTCTTCAGGCTGAGTTGGGAAATGAGCTTGGGCAATGAGGACGATGGCATTATAGAGATCCACACGTTACATAGCAGTGGCAAAGGGGGCATGGGCACTTGCTTCTTCCGCATTTTCAGTCATCTTAAAAGAGCTAAACCCAAGGGTTTATGTAATTGTAAGGGGAAAACCAGAAATTGAAGAGAGCGCTTTAAAATTTTTTATTTCTTGCAAAACAACTTCAGGGTTAAATTATTATTTAAAAAAATTTAATGATGGTAAAATTTAAACATATATAAAATAAACATATAAACCGGATATAACAGTACCCCCTCCCACAATGTATTCATTGCTCAGCTTCAAGAATTATCAACACATGGCCAATCTTATTTCATCTATATGCTTGCTGATTTACTTCCTTCCCATGTTGTTGTGAAGCAAACCTCTAAGTTAAATGTAAACATACGTCTCCCAGATACAAACTCCTTTAGGAATGATCTTTATTCTACCAGGACTAGAAAATCCAAAAGCTTCAGAATAGAAAGAGACTCGGAAAGGCAAACTCTGTTTGATTCCGGTACCCCTTACCCCTGGCCCAGATTCATTTTCCAACATTCTCTGTCCTGCTGTGACCTGGAGGTGTGCCCACTCAGGACTGCATCCCTAAGCTCACTTTCCTCACTTGCAAGTGGGGTTTCCCATAGGCCTCTGGTTAGTTTCAGATAAGGGGAAATAGCAGCAGGAAATCTGAGGGTGGAAGGAAAGAGAGAATGGGGTGTTCGTTCCTCCCAGAGCCGCACCTCTCCTTCCTCCTTCCATGGCGCAGGAGTGGCTGTGTCCCCTACAGACCTAGCTTCTATCAGGCATCCCCTTGCACCTCGCACGTGGCTGCGGCCTTTGCTTCTGGCCTAAGGTGTTAAAGCTGCCCCATTATTGCTTGTCCCTGAGTTCTGCGCCATCCCTGGACTTTGACTTCCTGAGTCATCTATAAGAATTTATGGACTTTGTATCGAACTCAAAGCTGGAAATAAAGTGGCCTCAAACAAAGGCCTCAAGACTGCCCTGAATGGACCCAATTCCACTCAAGGAAATACTTTGGCAAATAACTTAAAGGAAATACTTTGGCAAATACTTAAGGAAAATACTCTGCTGACCTTTCAAGAACAAATAAAAGTCAACATCATCATCTTTCAAAATAGTTTCTTTCTAGTCATATTTTCACCACGTTTTTAGGAAAATGCTGATAAGAAAAGAAGTCTGGTAGTTCACTGCCATGATGCCACGCCCTTTCTTGGACACATTTGCAAGTAACTGATATCGAGGAAGAGGGATGAGGAGAGAAATATAGCATTCAGGGGGATGCAAAGAAAACTGTTCTGGGGAACAAGATTTCCTTAGGAGGACATCCTGGGTCAAGATACACATGCTTTCTTCCTTGAAATGCTAAAGCATGGGCGCTTAAACAAGTTAAACTACTCAAATGGCTGTAGCCAGACCATGGAGGGTTTCTATGTTTTGGGAAGGAGTATGGTTCTTTCCACTGACAGCCACAGGGCTGCCTTCAAGGTGGTATGTACCTCCTCTCTCTGTCCTGCAGCCCATGAGCTCCCAACCCTGGGAGATACTGAAGGGTCACTCACCTTGTGATGGGGCAGCCCGTGCAGTCTTCCTGGGTTGGCCCCCGGCACTTGGCACATGAGGCTTCACAGATCTGGCAGCGGCCGTGCTCATCAGTGTATTCTCCTGGGGAACAAAATCTAGCTGTTTACCTCACTTCTACATGGCAATGCTGCTTGAGCTCTCAGCTGAGAGCAGCCAGATCTCTCTGTGGCTGCAAAAACGCAATAGAGACAACACAGAAAGAGACCCTGAATGGCTTCAGTTGCCAGTCTTTAAATCCTGACTTTATAACAACTGCCCCTCTCCCAAGGGCCTCTGGAGTTAGAACCTCAAAAACTTAGGAGACAATGACATAATTTTGGATCTAGTCAACATGTGTTATGGAGTTTATACAGAGAGGCCATTGGGGGCTTCCCACATGACCCCTTTACTGAGCTCCTACTCACTTTCCTGTTAAAGGTTTCTGGCCAACAGAAACCTCAGTAATAGCCTTGGTTCAACAAGCAGGACCCACCCAAATCTTGTCCCCCTACTCAGTGTGGGGACTTTGGTTCTTAGTCAAGAACAGAAGTTGAAACTTGGCTGATGTTTAATAGGTGTGAGCTGTATCTCACCCTGAAAGTATACCAATGAAGAGATGGTTAGAGAAATATTCATTTAATTAGGAAGTCTGTCCTTCCCAAGGAAAAACACGAGTGGCCTTTCCACAGAAGAAAGCCCAGCCTCACAGATTTATTGCAAACATACAAGAACTCCCAGAGCCGAAGTGGTAAAGAGAGGCCAGCCTCACTGAAGGTAATGATCCCAGGTTCTCTCTACTCATTGAATTCAAACCTCTACGCACACTACACTCATCTTCTCTTCCCATTGTTTTACAAGAAATAGACAAGTTTCTTTAGTCTTATCCAGACAGCCACTTTTTATGGTTTAGAAAGTGATCACACTCAGAAAATAGTCTCAGATTTCAGAGGAGTCACAGCCCTTGTTTGCCCCTACCCACACCCCCCAATATTCACAGCTCTGTGAGCATGTCTGAGCATCGTCAATATGAGATCCAGACAGGGTGGTGAGGTAGCAGTTTCTCTGCCATGGTTTGACCAAGTGGTCTTACTGAAACTGTCAGATTCACTGCCTGATTTATTATAGTTGCATTTAAAAAAAGCCCTGGGAACATTTCTCACCCTTGATGGGTGAGAAATGAAGGGAATTCCACCCCTCTGCCTTTCCCCATAGCTTTCCTGAACTAGTAGATTTGGGTAGGAAAATTTTATGTACATAAATCTTCCACTTGCTAACACTAAGCCACAAAAATGAAAAGGAAAAGGAAGCTAGAGTTTGTGCTTACAGAGCAGAAAAAGCCTTTCATGCAGACTTAGTCCCTTGGTTTCGGTAACTAATGGGGAGAAGTACATATTTGGAGTAATGCAAGCATCTCCTCTGGCACACCCTGCATACCCTGGCCTCTGCTCTTCTGTGTCTCCAATTGTTGCCAAGGTCCAGTTCAATGTGGACCAGGGATCTGATACATAACTTTTAGAATGGGAATCTAAAAGCTCAGGAGTGACTCCCAGGAGCCATAGGCCCAGAAGTATGAGTCACCAGGGGGTAAGAATGCAAATGTGCAAATTGTTACTGCACAAGGGGCCTGCCCAAGCGGCCAGCTGAAGGTGGGAATCCAACCCGTAGGAGCCATACACTCACTGAGACACACGCTCCGGTGTTGGCTGCCTCTGCAGGCGGAGCCTTTTACTAATTCACAGAAAGATGTTAGTTTAGAGTGGACTAGTTGATTTCTTGGTAATCAGCAGTCCCAAGGCAGAAAAAAGCTGGAACTCCTGTCTAGCAGGAGTGGGTATTTCAAGTTGGGATTGTCTCACTCAGTATAGGCATCATATTTATGCACCTTCTTTTTATTTATTTAGCTCCACTGTTCCACCTCTTAATTATTGCCCATGCTGTAATCTCTTCCGCTTCTGTTGTACAAGGTACAATCAATTGAGCAGCGTGATTTTTTAGTCCAGGCACCAGCAAGATAAAGAGCAGAGGATGGTAGATCTTGCCTACATTGCCAATGCTAATAATTTGTATTTACAGAGATGGATGACTGCTCTGTATTTTCCAAAAGATATGTGCTGACTGGGACAAGAATGGGAGACGGTCACAGAGGCTTCTTAACCCAAAGAAAGTATATTCTAGAGAAATGTAAGATCATACCTTATTCATTTGTTCATTCCAAGGGTAATTTTTGAACATTTATGTGCGAGGTACTAGGTGAAATTTAGAGACATACAAATAAAAAGGCCATGATTGGAGTTCTCAAAGATTCTTGAGAAGAATGATTTGTAAAGGCATAGTTATAATCCAAATGCTGGCCAGGAGCCTCGAGTCCCTTGGAGTGTCTGGATTAAAGTCTAAAACAGAAGTACAAGGGCACATGCTGAACTTTGCTAGACTTAGAGGTAAAGACGGTTATTTTGCCTTGGCATCCGTGCCTATAAGAATTGACACAGTGGTTTGGTTCTCTTAATTCCTAATCATCCACCTTAGTCTGTGGTGTATTAGATCGAATGTTAGGGTAGGATTTTAAATAAAATACACTTGCTGTGCTAAATCAAATACTACTTAGATGGTCGGTTTTGAGAGTTATACCATATTTACACCCAAAGCCTTCTTTGTAATTACAGATGACACATGGCTAGGTCAAGCAAGGCTTACTCAGATACTGCAGTGAATGCTTTAAATTATCTCTATTTATTGTTTGCCTCCTCATTGACTTCCATAAACCAGCAAGTGGCACTGATACCTTGGCCTCATACTAACTTAATCTGCGCAACTGCAATGGCCTCTGTTGGCGCTCACAAAGTGCCACCTTATTATAATCATCACTTAAAATTGCCTCATCTCTGAGATTTCAAATACCCGCTCCAAATGCAACTGTCTTATGCCCCACTTTATCATCCATTCACTCATCTTCCTAGTTCTTCTCGCCCTTCTTACTAGGGTTAGGCCAAACCTTCCCAAGACCCAGTTCCACCCATTCTTTCTCAGAAGGGGACCTCACCACCTAATTTGCTGATTAGTTACTGAGTTTCCCCAGCATCTTCTCTCTCAATGTCAAATTCCTTTCTGTCTTCTCGGGACTGTTCCCTTGTCTGCTGTCTCTAAAGAAGGTGTATCTCCCCTGGCATTGCTAACTCTTCATCTAACGGTTTGACCGTGCCTCAGAATATTTCCCCAGCAGTCTTTCTGTCTTCAGTCTTTTCTTCATATCATCCTCTGATCTACTGAAGTTCTCCCCAACACAAAAGCACTAGAGGCACTTTTCTTCCTCGGTAAGTGACCCTTACAATGCTTTTTTCCCTCCTGCCATTTGGAAACAAAATGGAGAAAACCTCATAATCTTGCAGCTTATGTAAGCGAGTCAGCGTAGGACAGCTAAACTCTGCACCTCACAAGTCTGCACGCCTCTTAACTTTAGAGCAAGCTCTGGCTTTGGAACACATGACAACACAGGGACCTGCCCCAATTTTCATATTTATGTAGATGTCCAATGAGTTACATAAACAACTGTCCCCAGCTCTTACAGGCATAAGTTTTCCACTGCACATTTGAAACCGAAGAAGCCAGATTCCAAGGACATAGTGAAGTTGCTTTTTTTTGGGTTGTTGTAGCAGCAAATTCTTGTCATCTGTCTCCATTGCACAATGAAGCTGAATGTTTATGACAGGCGTGATATACAAAATTCTTAGGAAAAAAATCATTTTTAGCACAGACTTAAGGGGCCAGCATTTTGTTCCCTACCTCATCCTACAAGCTCTTCCTTCTGGTGTCTTAATCTAATATTAAGTCTCCTATGATCAAAAATTTTCATTCGCCTTTTAGTTTCTTCCTCATCTCATCCTATAAGAGTTCAGAGGACATTGAAGGAGTGATATCTGATGGGGAGGAATGATACTCAAAAGTTGAAGACATAGCTTAAAAATTAATACTGGTAAATTAAAAAATTTACAAGTGACTTGCTCTGCTTGGTCCATGTCTTGATAACATTGCAGATGTGTTTGTGTCAACAAGTCTAAGTTATAAATAAACTTTTATGAAACCATCCAGAGTAGGTAAACAATTGATTACATCATCCACAGCTACTAAACATGCTTGAGATTCACATAATAATATTTTTTAGGCTTACATGGCCAGAAAAGCTTCTTTCTCTTGCACAAATGCTATACTTTCTTTTGTACCTCATAATATCTCCTTATTGATTACAGCCAAATTTGTGGTAGAGTGTAAGCAAACAAATATAAACTAAATTAATAAACACATAAGTAGATAGATTATAATGTGAGTGTAAAACAACCTTTTAGCAAGAGAAGATGGGAGGAACATTTGATGAGAAATCAGCCATTTAGTTTTTTGATCTGGTTTTTTCAGTGAGCAACCTTGGCATAATGACTTACCTCTAGGGCTCTATTTATGTGCTTTATCATTCAGATGCCAGGAATCATAGAGTGTGACTTTCCTGAATGACTTTACAACCACAAGTGCTAATCAGATAATACTATCTCTTTGCAGGGATGCCAAAACCTAGTTTAAAACTTAAGATACCAGTGTGTGAAGACAGTTTTCACGAAGAGAAATCCATACATTTATTATGTTGCACCAGCTACAGTAAATGGTCAGTAACACTTTCAACTAGTTACATACTAATGAAATAATTCAGTTATTAAATCCTTGTTCAGCATGAAGTTTAATAGCAAGGCTCAAAATATGAGGCTATCAACTGAGATTGCAACATCTCTAAAGTACACATTTATGCAGCCTTAAAAAGGGAGGACATTCTGACATGTTACAGCATGGATGAACCTGGAAGACGTTATGCTAAGTGACAACAAACCAGCCACAAAAGGACAAATATTGTGTTATTCCCTTTATATGAGGTACCTAGAGTAGTCAGATTCAGAGGAACAGAAAGTAGAATTGAGTTTGCCAGGGACTGGGGGAAAGAGGAAATGGGGAAATGTTGCTTAGTGGGTATAGTTTCAACGGGGGAAGATGAAAATACTCAGGAGATGGATAGCAGTGATGGTTCCATTACTGTATGAATGTAATTAATGCCATAGAACTGT